TGTCCCTGTTGTATGTTGAAACTTCTTTTGGGTATATGCCCAGGAGTGGTATAGCTGGGTCCCCAGGTAACACTATGTTCAATTTTCTGAGATACCGCCAGACTGCCTTCCATAGTGGTTGTACCAGTTTACAATCCCACCAACAGTGGAGGAGTCTTCCTCTTTCTCCACATCCTCGCCAACATGTGCTGTCACCTGTGTTTTTGATCTTAGCCATTCTGACTGGTGTGAGGTGGAATCTCAGTGTTGTTTTCATTTGCATTTCCCTGATGACTAGTGATGCTGAACATTTCTTTAGGTGCTTCTCAACCATTCGAGCTTCCTCAGTTGAGAATTCTTTGTTCAGCTCTATGCTCCATTTTTTAATAGGGTTCTTTGACTGTCTAGAGTCTAATTTCTTCAGTTCTTTGTATACCTTGGATATTAGCCCTTTATCAGATGTAGGGTTGGTGAAGATCTTTTCCCAATCTGTTGGTTGCTGCTCTGTCCTATTGACTGTGTCCTTTGCTTTACAGAAGCTTTGCAGCTTTATGAGGTCCCATTTGTCAATTCTTGGTCTTAGAGCACAGGCCATTGGTGTTCTGTTCAGGAACTTTTTCCCTGTGCCTATGTGTTCCAGGCTTTTTCCCAGTTTCTCTTCTATTAGTTTCAGTGTGGCTGGTTTTAGGTGGAGGTCCTTAATCCACTTGGAATTGAGCTTTGTACAAGGAGATAAGTATGGATCAATTTGCATTTTTCTACATGCTGACCACCAGTAATTCAAAACCTTCTACCAGCAGAATGTCACATAGCCTTAGATTCCAGGATCAACTTCTTTTCCTTATAAGAAGTAGGTAGAACCTGAGTTTCCTTAATTTCTTCCCATGCTAATTAGGCATTTTGGTGCCCTAAGCCCTCAGCCAATGACATTTGCCCATCCTGGATATTCCAACCCTCATTCCCAGAATTATATAAACCTTGAATCACCATAAGTAAAGTTGGTATGATGCCCCTCAGCTGATTTGTTGTGATCATTCACAGTACACACTTATAGTGATTGTGAACCACCTCCTCCTTCCCTGACCCCTTCCCTCCACTCACCCTTTCCTGTTCATTCTCTCTGCTCCCATTACACTTGTGGACCATATTGACTGATGATCCCTGAGGACAAGGAGAGCCACAGTTATATGATAAATTAATTTTGAAAACTGAGAATGGGGACCAACAAGATTACTCAGAAGGTCAAAGCACTTGCTTCCCAGGTTGTGTACCTGTTATTCACTGGTATCATGGGGGAGTTTCAAAGAATAGAATAATCACTCTATGACTTTCCCTTGCAGGTTTTAACTATAGGGGTGAACTGTTTTCTAAGTAAAACATAATTAAACTAGAACATAACTAAAGACGGGGAGCTGACACAGCCAGAGATCTGTTTTAGAGCTCTGTTGTAAACCATGGTGACTATAATTAATAATAATGGTTTGAGGGTTTTGTTTAGTTAGTTTTTATCTTGTTTTTTTAAGAAAAGATCTCATGTAGCCCAAGCTGGTCTTGAACTCACTATGCTGTAGGAGGAGCTTAGGTGGGAGGAATAAGGAGAAGAAGAGGAGGAGTAGGGAGAAGAAGAGGGGAAGAAAGAGGAGGAGCTAAGAGAGGGACAGGAGACAAGAGAGAGGGGAACATGGAAGCTGATGTACACCTGTCTCTAGCAGTCAAAGGTGGTTGATATATGTAGGTTGGTTATTGGGTTACACCTCTGATTTTGTGGGTATCTTGTATTGATTATTACCAAACATATAAAGCCTTTGAATAATCTAAGCATTAGAGTCTCATTTGTACCAAGCCTGTGTGGTTGGCAGGATGGTCTGGGCACTGCCTAGCCTTGCTGAGACATCTCCCACACTGGCATTTCGTGGGTGGCAGGGCTGGTGTTTCTGGCTGGCTGTTCCTAGCTGCAGCACACACATGGCTTCTGGCCTCAGAACATTCATGCTGAGCTTGGCAGTGCCACTGCAGTTTAGATAGTCAGCTTGACCAGCTGCCATTTAAAATGATTACTTCAACACTATGCAGCCAAGGATGATCTTGAATCTCTGGTCCTCTTATCTCTGCCTCCAAAGTCCTAGAATTACAGGACTTGTGCTACCAAGTCCCAATTAATAACACTGTATTTCATTACTAAAACTCATTGAGAGATTTTAGATGCTAATATGGAAAGTATCTGAGATAATTAATATATTATTAGCTTGATTTAGTCATTGTTCCTGTGCACATGTAACAAAGAAATCATGTTGTGTGTCATAATTACATACAACCTTCATTTGTCAAGTTAAAAATGCAATGAAAAGAATCTAATATAAGCAGTCTACCATCAGGACCCCTCACAGTGTCATTCGAGGATTCCTTTACCACCTCTGCTGAAAGGTTAGCCAGCATCAGTGACCATCATCATCAGGTTGTCTTTGGTGAAGAGAAGGCTGTTCTCACTGAGAAACTGTTCCCAGTGTTAGCCGCATTGGCATGGTACAGCATGGCACATTGTTACTTTCCTGGAGAGAGCCTTTTTCTCTTTATGAACAAAGAAAGACGTTAGAACAGGTCCCATGCATTAAAATGTTAATCACAACTTCATGAGGAACATTAGACAATTTACCCGTCTATAAATGAGTTGTCAGTTAATTATGATAGCTCACATAAATAGAATCTGAAGTCATAAATGGATTTCCTGGTGCATAGTAACATAGTGGGCATCATTGTGTTATTTCATCTGTAAACATGGAGGACTCTGCTGCTTTTCAACCCCTTGTTGCTCCCTTATGTGCACTTGTCCTATTCTCAAATAGTTCTTTGTACTGTAGTCACCTTTTAGGTTTAGTGTTTTGTTTTTCCTTTCTGAGACTACTCACTAGACTTAAGGAGAGATATTATTTCTCTTATGATTCTCAATGACAGCTCTTCCAGGGTGAGATTTTTTTGTGTGTTGGAGTGCTGGTTACTTTTTATTAGCTTTACACAAACTAGTCACCTGGGAAGAGAGAACTTGAGTGAGAAAATTGCCTCTATTCAATTGACTTTTGGTTATGTCTGTGGGTCATTGTTTTAATTGATAAATGATGGGGGAGGGCCCAGCCCATTGTGAGTGATACCTTCCCTGGGCAGCTGGCCCTGGGTTTTATAAGAAGGCAGGCTAAACAAGCCATGAGGAGCAAGCCAGTAAGCAACACTCCTCCAAGACTTCATCTTCAGCTCCTGACTCCAGGTTCCTGCCTTGACTTTCTCTCCTGGCTTTCTTCAGTAATGGACTATGGCCTATAAGCTAAGCTGAGAAAAACATTTTCTCTAGAAATTGGTTTTGGTCAGTGTTTATCTCAGCAAAAGAGACCAATTTAGAACAGGTGGTTCTTCAAGTTAATCCTTTGTGAGTTGTTCGTTTTTATTTTTGTCTTTGTTTTGTGTTGTGTTGGTTCGAGGCTTTGTGTCTTCACACGTATAATAGAAGTTTCTGTGTGTTAGAATGTGGCCCACAGCCTTGGGAACCTAATCCATGGTCCTCCTTAAGCAAGCTGTTCCATTTCTTTGGAGAGAAGTCCTACCTATAGCCTAAATCTTAGGGCCTCAGGGTGGTCACTAAGCACATCAGCAGGACTGGGGACAAGGCAGTGTCTGCTCTCTGCCTCTGACACAGAGTGCACAGCTCAGAGCTCTGACCTCTAACAAACTGAAGAGCAAACCCCAGAGTGGGAATATGGGCCCAGCATTGAGTCACTGCTCCTCGAAGCTGTGTCCTGCAGCTGTTACAGCTGGGCCTGACAACTGCCCACAGCTCACTTCTTTCAAGCAGGTTGACTGATTCTCTGAGACCAACATAGGGAACACACACAATGATTTAGAAGGGAAATCTTTCTTTTTCTTTTTCAACCAAGTCTTATTTTCTTTTCTAAAGGGACCGATTTATTTTCATGTGACTGTATACATGTGTGGGGATGGAGTTGGTAGAGATAGGGCAGAGGGCATTGGGGCTTGTGTGCATGCAGAGAGCAGAGGGCACAGAGTGTCCCCATTAGTCTCCACCTATTCCTTTCCAGAAGAGTCTCTCCCTGAACTGTAAGCTTCTGTCTTCTCTATTAGCATGGAAGCCATCAAACTCTGTCTCCTACATTGGAAAAGCTGGGGTCAAAGCCCACAGGGAGCACCCAGCTTGCTACATGGTGTGTGCTAGAGTTGAATTCTGGTCATTGTGGTTTTGTATCAAGCACCCTTTACCAACCTTAACACTGTCTCTTCAGTTATCTGTTTTTCTGTAAATAGCAGTTTTATTGACAGAACACAAACACAGAAGCACACACAGAGATACATGCACACACACACATACACACACACACACAAACACACACACACAACATATAGACAGACACATACACCACACACACACACAAACACACAAGCACACACATAGACACACACACACACACACAAACACAAACACACTGTATTAGTTACGTTTCACCTCTCTGTGACCAAATTCCTAACAGAAAACAAAGTAAGGGCTCTCAGCGCTTCTATAACCCTCTGTTCCTGGAGAGCTGCATGTCTTGGGCAGCCCCTGCCTTCCTGTCTGACCTGACAGGCTGTTCTCACAGCCTCATGCTCTGCCCTGGTCCTGGACTTTGTCTTTCCCCGTCTCCCATGCTCATGACATTAGCAAGAAGTACTTCAGCAGTGCAACCTAAATCACCTTCCCTTGAGTTTCCCTGAAGATTCCTGCTCCTGGGTCCCAGTCCCCAGGGAGGGACTTGCTGGCACAGCTGTGCCAAGTCAAAAGGTGAAGTTCTCAGCTCCCTAGACAGATCCTCAACACGCTCCACTTGGTACAGCTTGTTTGAGGCAAATTAACCTTTAAAAAGAGAAAGAAGATAACCTTTAAAAAGAGAAAGAAGATACAAAGTAAAGTTACGTAAAAACATAAATTTATTCAGTTGCCCATATTTAATTCCATGATTTTAGAAGGTAGACTCGGGGCCATGGGTTGCTCTCCGAAGAAAGAAGTACTAGAGAACAGAGAAAGCTCATACTTTGGGAAAGCATCTTGCCTCAATAGCCTGAGTCAGCCTCATGTGGAACAAAGCATAGTTCTCCATTTGGAGAAGGTCTGGGAAGGAGATGAGTCTTCCTCCAAGCTAGGAGTAACTCCTGTGGAGTCTTGGCATCTTCTCCCTGTGTCTGATGTCCCACAAAGCTTTTTGTATCACCTCCTTACCCTACTTCCAGCATTTCTGAAGCTGCCCACCTGGTACTGTCAGCAAGTTTCCAAGTACACAGGTGAGTGGCAGATGTCTCTTTGCAGGAAAGATTATTGGACGCTGAGAAGCCAAACCAACTTCATACCCTTACATTGCATTTCTTCTGATCCAGAGTCCAGAAGGGCTGAGTGCTTGTGGAGGGTTTCTGGTGCAAGAAGACTTTGTCCTAACAGCAGGTCATTGCTTGGGAAGGTGAGAAACTCAGGAGTATCCCAGGAAGTCAGTGTCCCCAAATTCCCTCCACAGAGCCTGAAAGTATGCAATTACAATTGAGTAGAATGATAATGAAACTCTGGAAGCAAGATGGGGCCAGGAGGAGTGAGGTAAGAAGCAAGTGCCCATAAAGAGAAAAGGAGGTTGTGGTCCAAAAAGAAACAGAAAGTGGAAGACACAGGCTGGGCGCTAACTATGAACTCAGACTGTTTATGTTTAATCTGCTTTCCCCATTTCAGGGTTTGTGGGAATCAGCAGGCAGGGGTCAGGCCTAAGGCCCTCGCACTTCCTCCCCTCACCCCCACTTCCAGCTTATTTTTCTGCCCTTGGGATATTCATCTGCCCTCCTGAACTGCTGGATCTAAGATCCTGGTTATCATACCTACCTCTATCACAACCTTTCTTTTGCAGCTCCATAAGTGTTACCCTAGGGACCCACAACATCCATGGACGAGAAAAGACCCAGCAACACATCACTGTGCTCAGAGCCATCCGCCATCCTGATTACAATCCACAGACCATTAGGAATGACATCATGCTACTGCAGGTACTCCCCTTCTGACCTCTGGTTCTCCAGGCTTACTGGCTCACTCCTGGTGTGTGGCTTTTGAGGAGGATGCCTCAACAGGATTCCAGAGGGGTGATGGGGAGGAAGAATCAATGGGTGCTGGTGGGAGACAGCAGCTGAGCTGGAATGCCTCCATCCCTCCTGACAGCTGAGGAGCAGAGCCCGGAGGAGTAGAGCAGTGAAGCCAGTGGCTCTGCCTCAGGCCAGCAGGAAACTGCAGCCAGGGGATGTGTGCACAGTGGCTGGCTGGGGCCAGGTGAGCCAGGGAAGGAGAACAAATGTACTCCAGGAGGTGCAGCTAAGAGTCCAGATGGACCAAAATTGCTCCAATTGCTTCCAATTCTATACCAGCCAGACTCAGATCTGTGGGAAACCCAAGGGAGAGGAAGTCTGCCTTTAGGGTAAGATTCAGAACAGCCTCCAGTATTTTTCTTGGGGCAAGGGGCTCAGGGCTGGCAGAGGACAGCAGGACAGGTCTCCACCCCTTCAAGCCTGGGGACTAGACCAAAGTGGAAAGGTTTTTTCCTCTTTAGGAATGACAGGAAGACTCACAATTTACCTTACTGGGGAAGGTGGAGGTACCTTGGTGGAGTTGCTGGTGCCAACTTTAACAGGATCTGAAGCCTAGCAGTTGAAAGACACAGCAAATTGTTTCCTGTAAGCCCATCAAAAGCCCATCGCCCACACACAGGCAACTGGAGGAAGCCTCCAACACATACCTTTCTCTGGGAGCCTGTATCATAGGGCAGCAAGATCCAGAAAGCCTAGCTTCATGTTCTTTTCCTTCTCTGCCCACAGGGGGATTCTGGTGGTCCTCTGGTATGTTGCAATGAGGCCCAGGGCATCATCTCCTATGGAAGCAACAATGGTAACCCTCCAGCTGTATTCACCAAGATCCAGAGCTTCATGCCCTGGATCAAAAGAACAATGAGGCATCTTGCCCCATGATATCAGGGACCTGCTGACTCCCTGTCTCAGGTACAGACCAGCTCCAGGTGATTTCCATAGCCCTTATTAATGTCTCCTGGACAGTGTATATTTTTGTTTATTAAATATTATTTAGTGCTGTCTTAATATGTTTGAACTCATATGTCAAAGAACCACATAGTGGTATTAGAGTGGTATACTAAACAACAGACATTCATTTTACCACATTTCAGAGGCTGAGAAGTTCAAAGTCAAGGCATCAGCATCCAGTGTCTGATGAGAAGCTGCTCACTAGATCACAGCTATCCTTTCCTGCATTCTCACATTGTAGAAAACACAAGAGGAATCCATGGGGCCTCTCTAACAGGACTGCTACTCACAAGGGTTCAGTAGCTGTCACTTCTCATGTAATTCCTTTCTGATAGGGATTAGGTTTCCATGTATCAATACTGAAGGAGCATAAATATTCCTTTTCCGGGGGATACCCAATGACATCTACCTAGATACAGTGAACGTTCCTCCAGAAAGTGAGATTTATTCCCCACAACAAACAAACCCTGTGGCCTACCCTCCTCAGCATGGAGATCAAGATGAGAGTTTTTTTCCCCTAAGTCATGCATCCCCCTTGTCACCTTATCCCACTCGCTGAATCAGCTTCTCTCCCCAGGTCAAGACTCTCTCCCTGAAACCTTCCCACTCAGTGCTGAGCTATGCAGACAGATAATCTTGATCCTAGGTCAGAGTTGAAATTCCATTAAATCCTTATTTAAGACAAATCTCAAGCCCATGAAAATAATGAACTTCTGGGTCTGGAGAGATGGCTCAGCAGTTAAGAGCACTGGCTGTTCTTCTTGAGGTCCTGAGTTTAATACCCAGGAACCACATGGTGGCTCATGACCATTTATAGTGTGATCTGATGCCCTCTTCTGGACTGCAGGTGGATAAGGCACTCTTACATAAAATAAATATATGAATAAACCTTAAGGTAAAATAAAAGATAAAAACCGAGTTTTTAATACATGGTATTAGGACAAGTATATCATTACTTAGATGGTGAAAAATAGTGAATCAATCCCTTACACCACACTCAGAACTAAACCTTAAATGCATACAAATGCTAAAGCTTAAACTACACAAGCACTAGAAGAAGGGGAAAAATAGAACATTGAAATATTAAGCTAATGCCAATGTTAGTAGGAACATAAGTCACAAAATCAGACTAGAAGCAAAGCAGTGTTCAACAGAGATGGCAGTTCCTGTCTAAAACCACAGATTATACCAAGACACTGAGTCACAGACCAGTGGTGAAGATTTGCTTCACACTTTGAGTGCTTTGAAGTTCCGTAAAACTACAGAAAAAATGTTGACTAAAAGAATGGTGTGTTTGCCCTATAGACTACTCTGTGGTTGTCTAAATTAAATAAAAGATCACTGAAATCACGTAGACTAAAATCAGACTTAAACATCTTAAAGTAATTGCACAGAATTAGCTGGAAAGGTTTTTCAGCATCAAAATGTTAATTACACCTGATCCTGTGATGTTTACAATCTGAACTTCTTCAGTTTCTATAGTCTTAAGTGAAATAATTAATGACCAGATGTCTTACCAAATCTAACTGGGCACATATGAAATGCTTTCATGAATTCCTCTAAGGATCCATCCAAGTTCATTGTTTTACATGTAACTCCTGTCAGAAGGCCATTTGTTTAACACTCAGTGGAGGCCATTGTAAACAAAACTGTAGTTAATAGATTATCTCTAGCATCACACAGTCATTCTCTAGTAACTGCATGTCCATGTGAATTATTGATTACTTGCAGCAGTTTCTTAGGGATGACAGTCTCACTATTAAATGGTTGTACTGGCAAATGGAGACAACTCTTTCGGGTAAGGTCAGAAGAGCAGAGAGCAGCAGAAAAGTCCCCCACACCACATTTGTTCTGTGACATTTACTTGGAACCCCAGAACACAGCCCAGGCCGAGACACAATAATATAGAAACACAATGGAATCTCCATCTCTTTGCATATCTTCCTGTTCCTGTCAGCACCTCTAAGGCAGCTTCCAGACCAAACTTCTGTTTAGAAAGTTTTCTACAACTCCATACAGGCCTGAAGCCTGTTTCCCATGAGAACCTGCAGACCCTAGCTACATCATCACTCTCCCTGGTATTTCCATGTTCTTTAGCATACCACTACACACACACACACACACACACACACACACACACACACACACATATACACACACACACTCAGGACTTAAAGTCTCTCTTGGGGTCCTAACCCACTAACAGATGTAGGTCTAGGCTGTGAGGGAATCCTCTTCTGAAGGAAAACATGATTGAAGGGCCAGATGTCCAATGTTGCGCTCTTGTCATGACCAAATCCATGTGCTCAATATAGCAAGAAGATCTGAAAAGCCTGAGGGACTGGGAGACCACTCTACACCAGCACCTGTTCCCACTGAGTCTCTCACATCTCCCTGGTGAGAGTTCAAAGATTTTTATTAACCATCTGTTGTAACAGTGGTGACAGCCAGGATATTCCTCTGATGCTAGTCTATTTTCTATCTCAGCTAAGAGGATTCTAAGCTGGATTCTAAGCAGGGTCCTGGGCATGTATCCAAGTTCAAAGGTACATACTATCCAGTCATCCACCAGGCTCAACATTACTTTAGACAATCCCCCTGCTGATAGCTGTCAGCCTATCAATAATATAGGATAATGATGATGATGATGATGATGATGATAATGATGCTAGCCAGCCTTTGTGTAAGAGCGGTCTAAAAATGCTGTGCTCTTGAGATGCAGTGGGAAGAATGGCAAATGCTCACTAACCTGCTGATTGGGTAATCCAATCTGAACTCACAGAGTTTTGTGCCCTTTGCTCAGAGCCCCTTGTGATGAATCTTAAGTGAAAACCCAAAACAAAACAAAACAAAAGGAAAACATGAAAATAGAGGAGGACTTTACTGGGCAGTGAAGAGGGTCGATATAGAAGAAGAGAGAGGGAGGAGGGAAAATAATACCAAGTGATGTCACTTAAGCTGACAATGCTCACCCCAAAAGCCATATATTCTCTAATAAAAACACAGATACTAGGCATGGGAAGCCTCCTTTTGAGTTAGTCATGGTAGTTCAAGTAACTTCTAAAACAAATGTAGGTTATTTCTGTTTCCCTTAGGTGCCTCCTATATCTTGAAAGTAATTCCCTGTTGCTGAAGACACCATACCTTTTGGACACAGGACTCAAATACTCTAGGCTGATTATAACCTGAGAGTTTCCTCCCTAAGGACTAGCTACAGTCGTAATGGAAGCCCTCTGCAAGCTACCAATGGAGGGAAACAACCAATATTCCTAACTGTGACATCTATAAACAACAATGACCATCATAACAAGATATCCCTTAAGATGTACTAGTGGCACTTATATCCTGGCAGTAACCAACAGCTCTCTAATTAGATTTAAAGCCTGTGCAACAGGAAGAAAGGCATGTTTGGAACTGCTCAACTGGAGGCAGAGAGGCATGCTTGGGACTGGAAACCTAACCAGTTCCTGGAGCTAGTGAGATCATGAATTTTAGAGAACCTACTGCCACCACTTAACTAAACCAGCTTGATTCCTTACTGCATTCTAAATACTTATTCTTATGCCCACAAATAAAGGTAGCTCCTCTCCCTCATCAAAGAAGCTTTTTTATTTTTAAGAGACAGAGACCATTACAAAAAACCACAAGTGTTCAAAATGCAGAGAGCAAAGATCATGGGATGTCCAGCTCCAATGGATACACCTACAATACAACTCCTGAACCTAAGGCTCAGGGAACATCTCAGAAGAGGGGGAAGAAAGATTGTAAGAGCCACAGAGTCAGGAAATGGACTGTGTGATTGAGCCTCCTAGAAATGACACAGAGGCTTCACTCATGGTGCCTCAATAATATAGCTGCCCAAACAAGAGCTGAACAAGTAATAGTTACCAATAGATACACTAACACCAGAGGGGAATCTCAGAGGCTCCAACCCCAAAGGAAAAGCTATAGGCAACTAAAGAATGCTGAAAGCAGAAGAAATAGTCTTCCTCAGAGCTGAGCCTCTGATTGGTTGTCCAATACCAAGTGTCAAGCCCTGAAATCATATACACATAAGCATCACTAAACAAGCTCAGTGGATCATTATATTCATATAGTTATGTATATATATGTGAGTAACAGTAATAATTTTTTTCAAAAAAGAGGTTCTGTGGGTACAGAAATGGTTTCATGGTTAAGAGTGCTTACTAATCCTCCAAAGAACCCGAGACTGGTTCCTAGCACCCATCTCAGGCAATTCACAACTGCCTGTAACTGCAGCTTCAGGGATCCTATGCTGAATCCCATCCTCCAACAGACATGATACACATATATATAAATAAAAAATACATATTTAACAAATAGAAAGAAAACAGGCTATGAATTGGAGAGGAAGCAATGGAATATTTAAGAGTGTTGAGAGAGCAAAAGGAAAGGCACAAGTAATGTAACTATACCTTAAATTTTAATAAATTAAAGTCACTACAAAGCTAAGTGTTGTGTTAGAATCACAGCTTGTGTCTGGATAGGCCAGACCAGGCCAGTACAGTTCCAGATGAGAAGTTTATTGTGGGGGAAGGGGGCAAAAGTCAGTGATGGAGATGAAAGGACAAAAGAGAGAAAAGAAAGAGCAAAGGTCAAGCAGGTCTGCCTTTTATTTAGGCTGTGATATAACTGCTCACAGGTAAAGGTAGGAAGTAAACCAAATGGATGTTGAGATTTTATGACAATTGCCATGGCAACAGATGCTCAGGTCCGCTTGGAATATGGGTGACTTCACAGTCATTCCTGTTGGGTTAAGAGGCAATCTGCAACCAACTGTAAAGCTGTTCCTGATACCAGCAGTAAGAATATTCAAGTCTAGTATAAATATTACAACTGTCACTATAGCACCTGTATGCTGTATATTCTGGCATAATTTGACATGGCCATAGAAAATGGCTACTTGAAAG